GAGAAGGATTCAAAGAAGGCTGGTTGGTCACTGAAGAATCAGCTCAACAGAAGCAGAAGCTTTCTCTGCAGAATCACTGCCAGGCCTTTTGGGGGAAACTGGATGCAACTCAGAGACCTCCAGTCTCCCCTGGAATTTGCACCCATGGAGTCTGAGCCCAGGGAAGTGGGGAACATGCTTGGGTCACAGGTAAAGGCAGAGGCCCCTGGCTCCCAGTTCAGAAATCAACACTCACCAGTGTTGATTTATTCTCAGGCAAACCAAGAACAGGTCTTCTAAGGTGCCACATCAGGAAATAGGGAACAAGCTTATCAACTGATATTCCACGCATGAAGTCCAGAAATGACCACAAATCCAAGTGATGGAGAAGAACCAAGCCAACAGTACCAGAAATAATAATAGGGGCACCAGAAAGACAGCAACTCAAAATGTATAATAGAGGCACCAGAAAGACAATAACTCAAAATTTTCAAAGTTGTAGAGATATGTGTATGTGATACTGTGACTTACAATAAAAAAATCTATCTTTGATCCCTGGTTCCCCAAAGCCTTGATATTTCCTAAGTGATTAGATGAGCAACCTCTTTGCTTTTCAATATTTAGGTTTTGTCCTCAACTCCTGAGATGGCCCCAGAGTTCATATCATCACAAACCCCTTTCAACCATATCTGAATCTATGTTAATAAGGTGAATTTGGGGATCACCTGAACTTATGTTAATAAGGTGATTTTTGGAAAGCCCCTAGGAGACCAAAGAATGGGGGCTGGTTGCCAGGCCAACCAAGCAAAGAGAAGGTTGGAATTTTCCATGCCATGCCCACCCCCACATCAGGGGCTGGGAAAGGGGCTGACGTTAAATTGATGACCAACGGTCAGAGTTAATCAATCACGCCTAGGTCATGAAGCTTCCATACAACCCCCCAAAGGGTGGGCTACAGAGAGCTTCAAGTTGATGAACAAGAATGTGCCATGTGCCAGAAGGGCAGTGGACCCCAAACTCTACAGCCCCTTCTGGACCCTGCCCTGTGTATCCGTCTCTTCATCAGGCGACTCATTCATATTCCTTACTGACCACTGTAATATAATAGCAATCCAGTGAGTCAGCTCTTTTCTTAAGTTCTGTGAGCTGCTCTAGCAAATAAATGAGAATTTCTCATTTATACCTGGTGGTCAGGAGCGCAGAGAATAACTTGGGTTTGTGACTAACTTCTGAGGTGGGGCTGGGAGTACTTTTGTGGCCCTGAGTCCCTGACCTGTAGGATCTGATGCTCCCGGTAGATCACGTCAGAACAGAGTTTGGTTTTAGGTCACAGGTGAAGGCTGTTGCAGAATGCTCAAGGTGGGTCCTCACACATGTTCACACCCACACCCATGCATTTGGTGAGCAGAAGTGTGAGGGATAATGCCGCGGATGGGGAGGAGACGCAGGAGTGTTTCCATGAGGACAGCGGTGCAATCTCTGACAACTATATACAGCAGATGTCCACGTAGTGATTAAGATTTGAAGGGAATTTGGTAGGAAGTGGGGAAAAATGTACTTTTTCAATATTCTTTTTTCTGCAAAGATAGTGTTTTTAATAAAGGTATTTTATAAGTCAATGAAATCACTTTTAAAATCACCCCACACCCCACCCCTCTTTCCTGTGCACCATATGGGTTCTCACATGCTGGGAAATGTAAAAATAACTGCTCTTTCCACATGGGGAAGACGCAAATGCTGTGAGCCGGCCTTGGCTCCTTTGAGTGTAGAGGGTGCTGCTGTGCTCCAGCCCTTGAACCCCTGGGTTCTTATCTCCCAGCCAGGACTTCAGGCTCCTCTTCTCCCTCACAGCCTAATCTGCTGTTTATGGCTTTCAAGATGGTTGCTAGGGAAACCAGATAAATGTCATGGAAGATTAGTATGCAGTTTTAGAAGGGAGACAGGCAAAGAGAATCAGGAATTCAGGGAAGGTCAAGTCCACTCTGATTAAACCCAAAAAAGAGAGAGACGCTTAGGTCAATTGATTTGAATTCAATTTCTTCCTTCTTAATCAATGAGATGGAGGGAGCATTGCAGGCTGAAAGACTCAGAAGTCGTAGGTCTTAGTTATCTACAGGACACACAGGGCAATTTTCCAGTCACTGACCCCAGGTAAAGGTGGACCATGGTACCCAGGGTGAGATACAGTGGAGGCAGGTGTGTTGTCCTGTTTTGCCACTTCCAGCTCCGTGGAGAGTTAGGACGTTGTGACTGTCCTTGTAACCACCAGCCCAGGTAATACAGTCGTTTCCTCATTTTAGGAACCCCCTCATTCGGTTTATGAACACAAACTCTTTGGAAGTAATTATCAGGGGAAAACTTCTGTGCCCAGAGTGAAACTAAAGGAAATAGCAAGTCTAGAATTAAAAGACATATGCTTATTCATTCATAGCTCAGAGACCACAGACGGTCCTCTACTTTCTTCATCCATAGGAATGTACATTTCATAGTCTATGTAAGTTATATGGAAAAAGCATTAATATGCATACATCTAGCAACAGAATAAACTGTACCTGATATTTTTCTTATTTACCCAAAACTAAAAGGCACAAACATCTTTAATACATCTAGAATTCACCTGAACAAATCACAGCAGGATATTTTTGTCTAGAGCAGTAATAGAGAAAAATAACATGGAAAAGAAAGCAGTGTTAATGATTTTTCTCAAAGTCTATGTAAATATAAAGTCCAATATTCAGTCGGAGCACATCTTCATTACTGACTCATGTAAGATGTCTCTAATGAATGTGTAACTATGCTTAATGTCTGCTTCATTTGCATATATTCCTTTTGCGGTTGCATATAAAAGCAATATTTAGGCTGTGCCTATATTCCTGCACATTGCAGGTTGTTTTATATTTTAAGATATGAAAGTGTCAGATGCATTTTCCTTCTCATTGTCACCACCCAACTCTGTAACAGCCACCTGTGACTGTGGTGCTGTTCCCATGCCACTCCCATAATGCTCCTTTCCCAGCTGGGGACAATAGCTTGCTTCCAAAATAGTGGTTTAATGAACACCCAGCATGTATCCTTGTAGGCCTGCATGAAACTATCTTTGGAATATAGCAGAACTGCTGAGACTGAGATTTTGTACCTACAGAGATGACTAGGTATTGCCAGATTGCTCTTCAGAATAACTAGTCTACCCCCCTCCCCCCAGGTTAATGAGTTTATTTTAAAATACAGAGCTGGGATTTGACAGAGATTTCACTGAATTTATACTTTGGGAAAAACTCAACATTCCTAAACTATTATTCAAGAGGGTATAATTAATTACCACCTTCTTACTAAAGTTTGAAGATTTGTTTCCATTAATATTTTGTAACTATTATGAGTCCTACCTTAGGTCTTTGCTAGTACAAAGAAATGCTACCAACCTTTCTAAGTTAGCTGTATATCTGGCAACTTTACTGAACTTTTTTCTAGCTTAATCAACTTGGTTTTCCATTCATTAAAGCAGCAAGGCTTCTTCTGATACTCTTAATCCACAAAGAACTCTTAATCCACAACCCTATCTGTTAGCCATACCTTATCTAGTGTTTTCTCTAACTACCCTCTAGTAGCAGTACATTGTCACTTTAGGGCAAAAAGGCTCCACGTGTTTAGATCTGATAAATACATCTATCTTCTCGAGACCCAGAATGTCCAAATGTAAAAGATCCTAGAAGTATTGCAGTACAAAAACTTTTAAACTTTTCCAAACACTTCAGACAAGCTTTTCCCAAGTTACATACTTTGAAACAACCTATTCAAATACTTAACCTACAACTCACTTATTTTTCTACCTGCACCATGGAGGAAGGGTAGGGGGAAGTTTGGCAAGATTTGGGATCTTTCCTACATGTATGAATGTTAATCTTTTCTCCCTGTGAGAACTATATTTTGATGTGTCAGTGATGGCAGAGTGACTTACTGACCTCTCCTGCTACCGCTTTAGCATGTTTCTTGTTGACAACAGCCATCTGACACATACCTTGTCAAATCTAACTTCTAAGTCAGTCTCTTTTTATGAGGTAAGTTATTTCAGTATTTTTGTGATTTCTATTCTGCATTAAAAACTTGTTTCATTCTTGGGTTATTTGCAGACGTTTTCCAACTTGCTGTTTAGCCCAGGAATCCTTGCTGTGATCATGACGTACAAATTAGTCAAAGCAAGAGTGCCAGGCCTGTTATCTGGCAGCTCAGCTCCATCTGCAGGCAGCCCCACAAACACAGACTGGAAAAGCGTTAAAGAGTGGGAATGTTTACGACTCACTCAGCTCGGTTTTTTAAAAGAAGTACATGAAGAGTTTTAAGCACCTCTGTATCCTAATACATTTTCTCCTGAAAAATTTAAAGATTTCACTTCAACAGAGCAGTGGGGTATGGCACAAAGAGCCCGGAGAGAGGGAAGAAATTTATTTCCCAGCCCAGGTTGGCTCCTATCCAGAAGTGGGAATGTGCCAATACCTCCCTCTCGAGCCACTGGCTTTAAAGGTGTGTCAGCCAGGTGGGCGGGCAGTGGAGGGTGCAACATCAGATGGTGTGGTTGGAACTGCTCTGCTGAACTCTGCAGCTGGAGGGAGTTGGGTGCCCACTCCTCTGTCCCCTTCAAAGGCAGCTCTGTTGACCATTTTCCCCCTTGGTAATTAGGTTTACATTGGACTTCATGTAAAAGTTCATTTGAACAGAGTTCTATGTCTTAAAAAGAAGCATTAAAAAATTCGCTGTAGTAGGTACAGTCACTTCTAGCTTCACTATTTTGGAGATAATTTTTTAAACTGAAAAGTAACCCAGGGTAAAACTTCTTGGTGGTTTCCAGTGGCAGTGAGTCACTACCTTTAACTCTGGCTCAGCACCGCATCATGGTTCAACCGGAATCTAGCAAAGGAACAAACATATTTCACTCGCCTGCCCTCTCTGTGTTCTGACCTTATGGAAGTGGTATTCATTGAACATAATACACACAGAACTCAACTCAATGGGTTGATTTTAAAAAAAAAAAAGGTCACGACTTTATTTTTATTAGATTTAAAAACAAAGTTGTTATACTTAATCACGAAGAATCCCCAAGTTTACATTCTGCTTGTGTTGCCTTGATAGGACAAGGAATGTTTAAATGTCCTCAAAATACAGGATAGTTCAAAGTGGACAAATAACAAACTGTTACAAACTATGGATTGTCACTTCAAGCACACGAACATATGGAATACACATAGAAATTACTGACCAGTATTCACTACAGTTTATAGTACCAGAAAGGAAATGTGCCCCCCAATATGACACAAAACCACAAACATGTTCCGATAAAGCAATAAACTCAACCCCTGGGTTCAAGTCAGACAGGTGGAAAGTGATCAAGAAAGTCTTCTTTGACTTGGCCCCACGGCGCCGGGAAGAGTATGGCACAGTAACAGGGTCAGCCCCCACCCCGAGGGAGAGAGATTGGGGGCGACACAGAAAACACATATTAGCTGCATAGATAGAAATCTTCCATTATAATGAGACGAACATATAATCAAAGCTACTCGGCAGTTCCAGAAGTTTTCAGGACAACGTTTTGCTTCAAAAAAAAAAAAAAGTGCAGATACACAAGACGGAACGCAGATCTCGCTCATCGGAGGGCTGTAAATTTTTGTATAAATGGGCAGAGACTGACTCGGCCCCAGGTAAGTGCCTTGGCTGAAAACCTCTGTTTTGAACTTGGCCTAATTTTACACCAGTGAATCTAGCTGTGGTTGGAAATTTCAGTTTCTGTGTTACTTATATACCTGGTCATGTTAACAACACTCTCCAAATTATTAACATTTTCCCATACGTGCTTAAAGCAGACAATGGCCATTGAATGAAGACGTTCAGGCGACCCACATCCTGGGGGGAGTTTAAAAACACAGGTGAATGCGTGGCACCTGTTGGACAGGTTCATACAACTGATTCCTTCAACTGACTTAACTTTCTGAAAGATGAGCCTCCGTAACTCAGAATCCCCACCTGGGAGCCAGACTTTTGTCCCTTTACATTGTCACAGTCAACGTCAGGGATCTGATTCCTTAGGGGGCTGTTAGTGTGCAGAAGTTAGCACAGTGAGTTGGCCAAGGAAGGGGGAGCTAAAGAATGGGGGGCCAGGAGGAGAGAGCACACCTGCATCTCACACCTCCAGAGGGAGCCTGGGCACCAAATACTTTCGGACATTTCCTCTGGCTCAACTACCTTGAGCTGTGCCCTTCTGAAGTGAGCCCCCCCTGAAGCGCAGGCCCGAGACCCTCTCACGGCACCGAGCGCCCCACATGGCACCTGCTTCCTGGTCATGTCACACAGCTGCTTATTAGAGTCTCATCTCAAATATTTTAATCTCGTTACTATTAAAACCTTAGAAAGCCCACACAAAATGTCAAAGCAATTGCTGGCAACCAAGATAACCTTTGTGAAGCAGATTCCAGCCCCCATGGTACAATGCCAATGAAAACAAAACATGGAACAGCAAATTCGCTCATGAAAATAACCAAGTCACTGCCTTCAACAAATAAGGCTTTCCTTATTTGTTGTACCTTATTGGCGGGGTGGGGTGGTGTTTCTTTTTGTTTGTTTTCTTATGACAGGGACTCTGAGTGTTTTTCAGAGGTCAATGCAAGAAAAAGTAGGCAAAGCACTAGCCTGGGGGGTGGGGTTGCCCGCTGCAGCCAGGGGCTGCCTCCCTGTGGCTCTGCGGCCTCAGTTTACTCATCGGTGTGACCAGGATGAGAGCCAGTGACCTCCAAAGTCACTGTGAGCTCTGTCACTGGGATTCTGAGAAAATCAAATATTTTCACCTTTTTTAAAATCAAGTCTTTTCACAGCATTTTTTTAAAAAAATGGAATTAATGTGAATGGGAAACAAAAACGACTATGTGCATTGATGTATATACATATACACGTAAAACATATATTTGAAAGAACCCAAGTATGATGCCGACCTCTATCTGCTGGGGTGCCCTATTCACATGTCCCATAGGTGCAGCTACCTGTTTAGATCTTTTTGTAAAGCTGAAAAATTCCTAATAGTTTTTATTTGGCTCTTCACTGATAGATTTTAGTGTATAAAATTCTGGAGGAGGATGAGAGAGACTTTGATGCCCCAAGGTAAGGATACTGTTCTTACATTTCGTTCTCTCAGCACGTCAAGCTAGTGCCGAAAGGTCGAGCTTCTGGCCAGGAGGGGGTGTAAGAGGGGCCAGTGCGTCCTCGGTCCAGCCAGGTTGTGGTTTTCCTGGCTTCACAGAGCATCACGTCAGTGCCACTTTCTCACAACTGTCTGAGGAATGTGATTCCCAAGCACAGTCACGATTTTTAAAGAAAACATGACTACTGTCAAAGTTAAATCTAATAATTTCAAAGAAGGAAAAATGTAGATACATTTATTTAAAAAGACAAAGAAGGGACAGACACCATAATGCCACCTGAGATCCTGGTTGATTTCACAATGGGCATTTAGTGGTTTTCATTTTAGATTCACTTTATGTAAATATACTAGAATAATGGAAGTATTAATGTCCTCCATTCAGACAAATGTAATAGATTAAATAATGATACACTGACAAATATATATACCTATATATAATAAATACTAATATGTCTACATTTAATATATTTATTCAATTTTGCTTTGAGTTTTTCTTCAATTTATTCACTATTCGCAAAACTATCAGAGCAAGAGCAAAGTTTGGGTAACTTGTACTGCTTTACTTTCAAAAAAGTTTTATATGTCAAGGATAGAATATTCTATAATTGGGTGGTAAAAACTGAAAGTCAAATCAAATAATAAAATATCTTGATTTTAACTAGTCAGAAAATTATGGTGAATAAATGTTACCTAAAAGGAAAGTAGTAATTCTACCACAAGTTAGTGCAAACTGGAGATTAAACAAACAGCCAATGCCGATTTAAACTTGCAACATCAAAGTATGAAGTGGCTGTTCAGTGAAAATGCCAAATAGTCTGAATTCAATACTCTGCTTATAGAATCACAGATGCCATCTCACTCGACACGGCAGCTTAGCAGTGATGGGTGTACATCAGCGGGAGAGTTTACCACCCTGGGGTACTGGAGGGCCAGGAAAATATAGAAAACTGTCTTCAGGAATGAACCCCAACATAGTGAGAACATCTCAACTACGACATGTTACCCATCATGGCCTGAATCTGTCGGAGCCAACTCCTTGCGCAGCCCAGGCAGGCCCCAAGGCAGGAAACAGGTGAGTACATTTGGCAGAGCCCTGGCCAAGCAATGGGCTCACCTCAGGACCAGATCTCAGAGCAGAAAGACGCCTGCTGCCAGGTCAAAACACTTTGAAGTACCAGCAAGAGACAATCCCGCGTTAGGGAAAGGTACCAGCTGTACGCCAGGGCAAGAAATGTCACCAAAAAGAAAGGCTGGCCAATGAGGGATCGCCCCCATCGTCCCCTAATTCACAAAACAGGTGTGCGTGTGGCTTTTCTTTCAAAGCGAGTGAGGAAACACTAGGTGGGGGTTTCATACGGTCTTCGGACAACCTTGTCATTACTGTTTCTGATTTAAGGCCTGTGAGCACGCACCAGCGGAGAGCAGAGAGGAACTCCACGGCGCTGAAGGAGCTTGGGATAGCCACAAGCCAGAGCACGGTCACAGGGACAGGTCACAGTCGCCACCTGCATCCCAGGGCACCGAGCTCCCGGTCCCACTTCCAGGGCGGGCGGAGGCGAGGAACATGGTGCGGCCACCTCCCTGCGGGCTCAGTAAGCGTCACAGGCACCAGAGCAGCACCCACACACATCTGTGCCATTTGATTCCGACGTTCAAAGTGCATTTGGCATTTCTTCCCCAAAACTAGAGAAAAAAAAAATACTCTCGAAAAATTATTTTCTGCGAATTAGTCTATATTTCAGGATTCTTTTTGTGCAAAAAAATTCAGGTGTGCTCAATAGCAATTAACTTTTGATCCACAGGTTAGTTTGAAGCTATTACACCAGTACAAAAATACACTAGATTATTAAAATTGTAAGACTATTTTTAAATTCATAAAAATGGTACTGCACTCGGTGGCTATCATTCCAGTGTTGGGATGCCCCCAGGCTCTATGGAATCAGGAAAGTGAACATGGCAGAGGGGAACCAGTTGCTAACTTGCTACTGTTTAAAAATGGTCAAGCTTTGCCACATGTTGGGGGCCAATGCTTTAAAGTGCTGTCCCGATGACCAGCAGACATCTGAGCATGTACAGCCGGCTGCGGGTCTGTACCGCCCGCCCACAGCGCAGGCGGGCACACCCAGCCCAGCCTCTGTGCGTGGCTCCGAGGGCGCCCTCCATCCCTGAAGCCCCACAAGGCAGCTGCCACCCAGCAAACCCGGGCTCTCACAGAGCACAGTCGAAGGTCTGGGGCTCGCTGAGGGCTGAAGCTGGAGCTTCCGGGCGCCTTGTCTGGGTGATCTTCTGCTTGGGGTTTTTTGTTTCCTCTTCCTCCTCAGTTTCACTTTCGCAGACATGCACCACCACACTGGGTGTAGACTCGGTTCCTGCGTGAAGTTCGTATTTCTCCCCTGTGGGGTAAACACAGTCAGAACCAAGGCCTGAGCCTCTTCTGCTAAAAGGGGTTCTTGCTTCTACTCTTACCTGAATGGCTGATCAAATGGTTTCTAAAACTTTAAATTCTTGGCGAGAGTACTTTCTCTTGCTTTGGCATTTCAGATATGATGTTATAAGGTTCTTATAAAGTTTTGCCATTTCAAGAAATGAGATAGGGAGGTATGATGTGGTCTTGGGAGTTAAACTGCAAATGCTAATTATGATTCTATGAAAAATCTGAGCACATTTATTTATTTATGTATTTATTGAGCATATTTATTTAACTTCAAAATGGCTGTGATATTCCTCGGGAGACACTACAAGCCTCTGGGTGTACTGACAATGCCTTTATTACAGGGCCCCAGATGGCCAAGATATAACTGTTATGTCTAAAAGCACCAGCAAGTCACTCCCTTTCGGGGCCCCTCTGTACCCCTGTAAGAGAGAGAACGTGTTGGGGGTGGACTACTAGTCTGAAGCAGCAATGATACTGATTTCTCATAGTCTCTTAAACTATGAGAGAGAGAAATTAAATAGAAGGAAAAAAAAGAAATGCAAGAGAAGAAATCAGAAGGGATGAGTAGGTAGTCAATATATAAAGTTGTCTCTCTGCTATTTTTAGGGGGTGAGACGTCAACTAAGACTTGTTATATTCCAGTAGAATTTCTAGCGGTAAAAATATGGTTATACTTACTGATATGATATATATACCACTGAAGTCTTTTTTTCCCTTAACACATATTTATTTTGTAGAAGAACTGGGGTATAGGCCAGAGGTAAGGGGTGGGGGTGAGAGGATCTACCAGAGACAGAGTGGGGAGCAGGATAGGCAGATCTACTGGAATACACTCTGCGGGGAGGAGCAGCAGCGGGTGAGACAGGAGAGGTCTGCCGCGCCATGTGGGTCAGCTCAGGCCGCTGTGGTGACAGTGCCAAGACTTAACCCCCAGGCTCCCTCACTGAAGTCATAACCACACTGAAAAGTAGCTGTTAAGATCACTCTTGAATAAATGAGAAAATAGGCTGCAAAATTAAAGCTATATAACTTGCTCAAGATCATGAAGTTCGCAAATGCAAGAACCTGAACTCTGGGGTGTGGACTTTATCTTTCATGTATCACATAGCTGCTAGTTGGCTGCAAAACAAATTGGAGACTATGCTCTTTCATGCAGAAGTTTCTTGGGGAAAAATGCAGGAAGACAGAAGAAGCGTGTTACCTGGCCCCAATTTGGAAACAGCACAGAGTAAGTCGTAGTTTATGACAGGCATTGCATCTTCACCCTGCTTCCACCCCACTGGAGGAGAGGCTGGGGGGGAGATGAGGAACTGCTTGGCTGGCTGGGGTGGCTGCAAGTAGGATTTGTCTCGTGTCTCACTGGACGTCTGGACCTGCAGGGAAGAAGACACTTAAAACCAGGCTGCGAGCAGGGTATTTTCTCTTCCTTTTCATCTTTATGTTAACAGTTACATCTCTTAGGAGAAAATAAAAATTTCTCTTCTAATCGATGTTTCCAAGCAGCTGGTCTGGGTCGGCTTCACCTCTGACATTCCACACACAACTCACGGCCCCTCGTTTGGTGCTCAATATTAGATAAATGAAAAATTAACTGATGAATAGATGAACAATGTATGGTAATAAGCACTTTAGAAAGTCTATCATCTCTATCACATACAGCTCCACCAAGAAATGTCTAGACTCCTTTCAATAGTTTTCACTGGAAGTGTGACACAAAAAACTTCTTTTTAAAAAAGATTTATTTTTATTTATTTATGCATATAAGAACTGGGCTTAGGCCAGAGGTGAGGTGGGGAGTGAGAGGATTCCCCAGAGACAGAGTGGGGAGCAGAACAGGTGGATCTACCAAAGTACACCGCTGAGGGGAGCAGAGGGCGAGACAGGAGAGGTCTGCTGTGCCACGTGGGTCAGCTCCCTGGCCTGGGATCAAACTCATGCTGCAGTAGCTGGCGACAGCTTGATAGCACTAAGACTTAAGCCCTTCCCCAGCAGGGAGAACCCCAAATATCTCTTTTAGTTTAAAGGCCAAGACCAAAAAACAAACAAACAAACAAACAAACAAAAACACTCCTAAAGGGGAGTAAAAATGCACAGGAGTATTAATGCCCGATCCGATGCTTCCTTTTGCCAATTCTTTCAATAAGAAATTGGTTTTTCAGAGTCACACCAATGTAGGGCTAAAATAAGTATACTCAATCTTGATAATTCACAGAATCCTCTGTAATCTCAAAGCCTAAGACAGCCTTTCTCTGCAGTTGAATGTCACTTCCCTGGCCCCCCTTTTGAATGGCAGCTATTTTCACTGGAGTTTCTCATACGAACCACAAAACATAGACATGATTTCAGAGACTATTTTTCAATTCTCCCAAGGATGTTACATCATAAGGATCTCCTATATATATGAAAAGGAGCAAAGTTCAGTTATGACTGATCTGAAGTGTGAGGGCTTAACCCTCATGGAATCCCAGTGGAGAAAAGGTGCCAGAAAGATGAATTCCTTTAACAATTAATCTAAAGTAAAACCAAGTTAGGAGGGAAAATATGCTCAATGTGCAAAATTATTATCTGTACCATAAAGGAAACACACTTGACATTGTGCTTACGAGGCTTCTTCCTCTCAAAGACCAGTGATGTAATAATACAGAAAATGGAAACTGGTAATATTTTTTGGACAGAGAAGAACAATTCTGAGCACGGCTCCCCGGCACTGACATACCTGTGCAAAATAGAGCTTCAGCTTCCTCCCGCTGAAGTCTGTCTCGTGGAGCTCTAGCCGTGCTCTGGCCGCTGCTTCTGGCTTGCTGAAGTTAATTCTGACTCTCCTGAAGCTTTTAAACAACTGGAACGTAACCTGGTCATCATAGTTGGTGAAAAGTGCTTCAAATCTCTCCTACAGATTGAGGAGCAGCAGGGCGGAGAGAAAGAGAGAAAGAAAAACCCTGAAATCATTAAACCGGTAATGGGGTAGAAGCCTTAGGATGCACCTTTGCTCCCCCAAAGCAGCCTTTTCTCACAGGTACAGGAAAACATGCTGACATGTGAAATTCCACAATGTTTGCTTATTTTATGAGCAATGCTATTAAATACTATGTAGATGCAAATTATAAAATGTTTGAAAGTAATTTGAGGAATAAAGCGAATTACAAACATGACAATTATAGAAAAAACATTACGGTTGTTTGGAAGTCTCCAGTGCGCTCCCTCGCCACCCACCCTTTTCATCCTTCCAAGAAACCATTCCTGTGACTCTGTGCTTGCCATCTTTTTCTCAGGAGTCCTGCATTTATCTGTATTCCTAATCATACAGCATATTCTTCTGTAGCTTGGTTTTTCCCTTACAAGTCTTGTTCCCCAGCTCCTTGCTGCTGTCTGTTCACTGCTAGTGAGTATTCTACTGTTGTGCTGCAATTTGATCTGCTGCTGGAATGGGAAAGGCTGCAAACTTCACCTCAGCGCTGCAGACTACCGGGTGGTCTCCTGGTTCCCACAACCTGGGGGTTTCTCTGGTGGATGCACTACAAGAAGCATGTTTTTAACGTTGCCTTTTTGGCATGTCTACCATGCCAGGTAATTACCAGAGTGTCTATAGCAATTTACTCTTGAAGAGCAAATATGTATTCTGGCTGCTGTTGAAGCAGATCTTCAATTTTTATCATTGGGCGGTAAGCAGCACGAGTGGACTCATATTCAGTGTCTCTCAGTAAGAAGCTTGAGCTTCTTTCCATGTTTACTGGCCACCTGGGGTCCCTCTTCCTGTTTATGTTCATTTTGCTAGTGGGTCTTTCACTGAGTCATGGGAGTCCACAGACACAGAAAGCCCTTGTCTATTATCTGTGCCATAAGTATTTTCCCCCAGTTCTTCTCACTGTGGTAGTTTTGCTTGTAGAAATGGAAGCTTTACATTTGAATATTACTAAACCTCACAAATGTTTTCCTTCAGAAGCCCCAAGGTCACAATGCTATCATGGGTTGCTGTTCCAAGTTGCACAGGTTTCCCTGTCACAATGAAGTCTTCACTCAACACAAGGTAATGTTATATTGAAGGATCCCCACATCACCTCACCAGCAGCCATTCTTTTTCTGGTTACCATAGATGATTCTGTATTTTTCAGAATTTTGTATAAATGTACTTTTCTGGAGGGGGAAGGCCTGGCATCTCTTGCTAGGCATGCTTATCTTGAGGTGCACCACGCCACAGCCAACTGCACTCCACTGCGGGTGTATCCATCCCTGCTGCTGGACATCTGGGTTATTTCTAGTTGGACTATTACAAATAAATCATTCACATATAGGTTTTCATGGGTATGACTTTATTTTATTTTTTAAGATTTCCTTATATACACATTTGGGGTGCTGGCCAGAGGTGGCGGGTTCAGAGGATTCATCAGAACAGAGTGGGAGCACAACAGGCGGATCTACTAAAACACACTGCTGAGGGAGCAGTGGGCAGGTCAGGAGGGGTTCAGCTCCCTGGCCGGGGTGGAACTCGTGCTGCAGGGGCTGCGGGAGCTTCATAGTGCTGAGACTTTATCAGGTAGACCCATGACTTTATTTCTTTTGGGTAAATACTTAGGAGTGGAATAGCTGAATTGTCTTTTCCAAGGTGGCTGCATCTTTTATACTTTCCCCAGTGCTGCGTGAGGCTTCACGGCAGCTCATTCTCTCCGCCCCAGTGCAGCCGGTCTTTTAACTTCAGCCATTCCACCGTGGTTACCCCACTGTTGTGCCTGTGGTTACCCCACTGTTGTTCCAGCTCACGTTTCCCTAATAATTCGTGAGACTGAACACCTTTTCACAGGCTTTTTTGGCTATCTATGACTTCTGGGTCAACTGTTCAAATTTTTCCCACTTTTAATTTGGGTTGTCTCCTCATTAAGTGTAAGAGTATTTTTTTATGTATTCTAGATGGAAGTCCTGTGTTGAATCTGTGTTTTGTAAATATTGTATCTAGCTTCCTACTTTGTTTCAAGAGAGTGCGTTTTGAGAAGCAAAAGATATTTTTTATTTTGATGAAGTCCAACTTATTGACTTCAAAAAAATATAGAAAAAAAAACAATAAAATACATTTTTAAGTGCTTCTAACTGTGGCTACCCACATGATTTGGTACGCATTCTTTTCTTTATCATTTGATTCTAAATTCTTTCTAATTCCCATTATGACTTCTTCCCTTGTTTTATGAATTGCTTAGATTTCTTTGTCAAATGGGATTTTGTTTTGATCTTTTTAATGTCTCATTAGCTTTCATTATGTCCACAGCAATACTGTATCTGGCACTTTTGGGCATACTTTTGGTTCAGGATATCATCAATTTTCATAAATCTTCGATGTAGCATTTAAAAAGAAAGTGTTTTGGCAGCTGTGAGTATGTAAATATGCTTAGCATATAAAGTTTGTGTTTAAGTGATCTATATATTCATATATACATATATATTTTTGGTCTGTTCAAACTATTGATTATGAAGAGAGGTCTATTAAAATTGCTCACCAATAGATGGACTTAATTTTTTTTTAAACTGGACAAAGGTTTATTTATTTATGTATATAGAACTGGGGTACAGGCCAGAGGTGCAGGGCCAGTGAGAGGATTCACCAGAGTCAGAGTGGGAAGCAGAAAGGGTAGACAGATGAAGGACACTGCTGAGGTGAGCAGCAGGCAGGTCAGGAGAGGTCTGCCACGCTATGTGGATCACCTCTGGGGCTGGGGATCGAACTTGCACTGCAGCGGCTGTGGCTAGTTTGCAGTGCTGTGTCCTAACCCAGTGCACCACCAGGGAGGGCCCAGATGGACTTATTTTACCTTGTGATTTATGACAAGAAACCGTGGGCCTCCCTGGTGGCACAAGGAGTTAAGTCTTAGTACTGTGAAGTTATCTGCAGCCACTGCAACATGAACTTGATCCCCCATCCAGGGAGGTGATCCACATGACAAGGCAGACCTCTCCTATTTTCTCTCGTTCCCCTCAGCAGTGTATTTCAGTAGATCTGCCTGTTCTGCTCCACATTCTGTCTCTGGTGAACCCTTCTAGCCTGCCACCGCACCTCTGGCCTACATCCCAGTTCTTGTATGCACAAATAAACTACATCTTTAAAAAATATATATAGGCCCTCCTTGGTGGCTCAGTGTGTTAAAGCACAGCACTGAGAATCTAAAGCCGCTTCTGCATGAGTTCGATTCCCGCTTGCCCTGGAGGTGACCACATGGTTTGGCAGACCTCTCCTGACCTGCCCGCTGCTCTCTTCAGCAGTGTACTTCGTCGATCTGCCTGTTCTGTTTCCCACTCTGTCTCTGGTGAAGCCTCTCACCACCCCTAGACCTCTGGCCTGTACCCCAGTTCTGTATGCACAAATAAATAAATCTTTAAAAAATATAAAAAATATATATATACACACACACATAGATTTTATATATATATAGCAACCATTTTGTACATACATACATACACATATACATATGTGTATACACACACATACAAAATGCAACCTACTACAGGCTAGAACCATGCAAAGAGCTGGATTTCAAATTACTACAAGCTGCTTTAAGAGAGGTGAGCTCTAAGATCTATCTTATTTTTGTTCATTATATTATTTCTACAGACTAAAATAATATGGATAAAGAAGTTTCTACAGAATATAGCAAGGATTTTAAATGCATCAGCTCTTAAAAAGGAATATGAGCATGTGAATATACTAAAAGCTATTAATAATTAATATTCTGGCACCCTTCAGAGTTTCCTCAGTATCCATTTCAAAGAGAGCTGGTTTTTCCACTTTTTTTTTTTTTTTTTTTTTTAAAGATTTTATTTTATTTGTGCATACAGAACTGGGATACAGGCCAGAGATGTGGAGGGTGAGAGAATTCACCAGAGACAGAGTGGAGTGCAGAACAGGCAGATCAACGAAATACACTGCTGAGGGGAGCAGCGGGCGGGTCAGGAGAGGTCTGCCACGCCATGTGGTCACCTCCGGGGCAGGCGGGAATTGAACTCATGAGGAAGCGTCTTTAGATTCTCAGTGCTGTGCTTTAACCCGCTGCGCCACCAGGGAGGGCCGGTTTTTCCACTTTTAAAAAGAATTAGAATTCAGATTTCATGAGATCATATTCCATTAAACTGATTTGAATGCTAAGTACATAGTAAAATTCCCGAGAGTCATGAAACATCAGCGTTGGACACAGCCGGGATGGAAATGGTTTATGAATACTACTCCTCTACGGCAACTGGCTACATTAGACAGTGTTCTTTTTCTAGGGTAACAGAACTGTGTGTTTATTGCTAACTCCCTACAACAATAAACTTTTTTTTAACAGTAACAATACATAAATTATCTTGTAAACTAAATAACTACTTGATAATCACATCCTTCTTCCTTCCTTTCAAGACATTTTCCCTCACTCCAGAAAGTGACATACTAATGATAGAAATAGGCTACACAATCTCTCTTCCACATTCTAGAGAGAATCACACAAGATGAAGCCATGCAAGAGTGCATCAGTAGGGCTTTTTCCTAAGTTCTAGTTCTTTCCTCTCTCACACCCATTTTCCCCTGATGTCGCGTAAGTGTGGCTTATGAAAGGTGTGAATACTCGCTGTGGGTTGTTGCTGAAAACATGGCGAACTGATGTGGAGGCAAAATTACTGCCGCTTCCTCTTTGAGGTCAGAGGTAAGAGCCTTTGACAGGGAGCTTTGCACTCCTGCAGCGACTGACCGCTGCTGAGCTTGGCCCTGGTGAGCTGCATTAGCACACAGGGATTTGGAAGCCCACACACAGCTGATGGAGATGCTGTAGTCAAAATGATCACCCCTCCCCACCACCTTTTCAGGGGTCCCTTCACAACTCCCCTGCTCATACACCCATGGGATACACACTCAGCCTAAAAACCAGTCTGAGA